TATATATATATATATATATATATATATATAATGTCCACGGAATATGTGCATGGCTTTTTACAAGTTGTGGCTGTGCTTTCAGGCCACGCGAAAGTTCTGCATTAGAGCGACATGGTGAGAAAGTATATTCGCAATGGGTGAACATGTTAAGGACGTCACATTTACTGTAGTACTCACTCCCCTAATGCATACGAATGGACACGCAGTAAATCACACTCGTTTTGTGAACTTCGTAACACTCTCTACCTTTCTTATACTCTTTATTTCTCTCTCTCGTAGAACCCACTTCGTGACTTCATGACGTTAACCACCCCCATTTGGTACAAGCTGTCGCGTACAACTATAACTCCCGAACAAAGCGTTAATGAACGCCAGTTTCGGGATGATTCCCTTTTATCCGCGTCGCAGACAACGCGCACACAGGCTGTCGTGGATCCGCGTCACATCGACGAGTGGGACGAAAACAATTTGCAAGATAGATTAGCCTTTAAGCAAGACACGTTATGAATTTGTTCGTTTCACGTACTCTTATAGCCGCCATACAGGCAACAACGAACATGTGCACGCTCAAAAACAAAGAAAACGACGGGGGGCTGAGGCGGGATTGAAACGTGCATAAACGAAACAAGCCACGCATCCCAGCCAAGGCGTTCTCCTCTCAATTTGTGCAGCTTAAATAAAGTACCGGGCGAGCCGGCGCGGCTTCATTACCATATCATTACGAGGAGATTCGCGGAGATTAGTGCGGTTCGACGGGCTAATTGTGCGTGCGTTCGAGCCAGGGACACGCGCATGCGCACAGTCGTCTTGCAAGACGTGCGCGTTTGTTCGAGTGATGGAGAGAGGAGAAAGAGAAGAGATTGCAATGAGCGCGGGTTGTTTGCGAGCGCCGCCGGAACAATGCCCGCTCGAGAATGGCCCCGCGGCAACGAACTTATGCGAACAAGTGAGCGGTAATGACGCGGGTGCTCGATGGCGTTCGCTTCGTCCGCATCTTAGGAGGAACCGCACCGCGAGTGACCTGCCGATAATGAACGTTCGCCGCGCGACGTTTCTAGGAGTCCCAAACATTGTCGTTTCGACATTCAGTGTCTTGCAGCCGCTCCAATAGCTTAACGGTTATAAGATGTGGCGAAGCCTATAGGTCGAGGACGCCGGTTGGATCCGTACCTGCTTCGTTTCACAATCCTTACAAGCGGCAGCGAGCCACTGTATTCATAGGAAGGACGATAGTATTTTTTTCGGATACTTGGACACAGAAACTTTGGTCTGTCTGTCTGTCTGTCTGTCTGTCTGTCTGTCTGTCTGTCTGTCTGTCTGTCTGTCTGTCTGTCTGTCTGTCTGTCTGTCTGTCTGTCTGTCTGTCTGTCTGTCTGTCTGTCTGTCTGTCTGTCTGACACACGATTTAGCCACCCGAACGGCCAGTGATGTAGAGCTGGTGGCTGCGTTCATATATGTTAGTATTGTCAATACAAAAGCAAATATTACGCATCTCTTAGGCGCAACATCAACACGTCAGTATTAGGTGGTCCATTCTTTTACTAGAAAATACACAGATACGTTGTGGATGCATTTTGCGCCAAAGAAAAAAAAAACGTACCAGAAGGAATACGAACTCGCCCAAAGCTCGGTTCTTCTAAACGCAGATACGTAGTTCTGAAAACCTCCGTGTTCCTTACGCTGCATGCTCTGCAAATGTGACGCTATGCAGGAAAAAAGTCCCTTTGTTGACTATGTGGTGCTGTCACCAGGCAAGACGGAAATGGTGCGAGAACAGCATCATGGGTAACCGCGCATGAGACCAGGACTCATGTCGTATGGCCGGCAGAAAACTGTCGTCTTTCGACGACATTAGCAGTGATGCCCGCAGACACGTGGTCATTTCTTAGCTCGTTCATTGATTTCTTAAACAAAGCCAGCGATCACTTAAAACGTTTTCTAAACTAACAGTCATCTGTGCTGTTGCGTATTTTGCCGAACGAGTATATCCCGTACGCGCCCTTCCTTTGCTGATGGTATTGATATTTTTCTGCCATCGTACGTAATGAGTCACTATTGAAGGCCTAAACTGGCTCTACAATGTATTTAAGCCACAGTATCACTATCGCATGATCGACGTCTCGATGGCGTCAACGGGGATGGTGTCATCGTCATTGCCGTGGCGTCGTCGTGGCGCCCACTCCATGGCGCTTTGGCATGTTGACACTCATCTCGGAACGTTGTTCGGCATTCAAGGACCTTCTGCCACGACGCCGCGTATACAACTATTCTCCTTCACTACCTCGAGTTGTTCGAAAACATAGCCGAAATGTTGCATTGATTGTTTATCGACAGGACGAATACCACGATCGCCACGGTGGCTTCGGATGTCGCTGCATGAATGCCTTTACTATGGAATGTGTCCACTCTTCCACTTCTCCTACTCCTCCACTCCAAAGAACACGTGCATCAGGGCACCCTATAGCTTACACGTATAGGGCAACTAAGGTTAGTACACAGGCAGTAAACATCGCAAAGTCCTGAAAAAAAAAAGAAACACCCCACCGCCACCCACTTCTTTATAGAGGGAATACAGCGGGACGCCCAAAAAGTAAAAAAAAAAAAAGTCTGCTTATATGTAGCCATGTCTGTTTCCGGTACTTCTCTTTACAGGACTAAGGAAAGAAACAACAAATAGTACACTTAAAAGCCTTGTGCGAGCAATAAATATACACCTTTAGATTCATTGTTTTCTTAAGCGATGCTTCGTATATTCAGCTTGTTACACACGCATGATCGATCAATCAGTGTATTAAGGAGGTCTGGCCCTGGAGATAGTAGAATGAGCAATACCGAGGTTAATGTATTTATTTTTATGGCTGGGTCTACATTTGCGGTAGCGCTGGTCACGTGGGAGTATTGATTGATATATTAACTAATTATTTATTTCAAATCATTTGTGTTCGGCACAGAAATCATTGTCATAGAACGAGAGGGCATGTAGCGTGCCTAGCTGCCCCTTGCGGGAGTTCGCGCATGTTGCCGATTTGACACAACAGGCACAAAGCCGGTCCGCTGCGGGACACACACTGCGCAAGATACTGCAAGGATTTTATGCATTTGTGCAACCGCTTTACGAAACATTCACTTCACGCAAGATTTCACAACGTGCTTTGTGAACATAATTTTTTGTGCTACTTGGTGTGACTGCATACTTATCCTACACGAAACACATAAGAACGAAGCTCATAATTGTTGTAGTAAAATACAATACATAGGTACGAAGGGCTGAAGTCAACTGCCACGAATTGCAAAGTCTGAGAACTTGTATACAAATATCTAGGCGGCGGGCTCCTAAAACAATCTTTCTGGCGGCTGAGCCACCGATGTTATGCCTCTTTAAACATTCCAGAAAAAGACGCACGAGTCACTGTATAAGCATCAGTAAACCTTTTATTCTCGCATGATATTCAACTATACACTCTTGCAGAAAAACACACAAGTACATAATAATAACGAGAAACAACGTGAGCTCGGTTGTCAGAAAAGGACTGAAGGCGTCCGCTTTTATGATGTCACTCATAGACGCAATATTTATCTCCAACGAAAAAGAGCAATGCCACTCTTAATATATTCTACACAGCAAGAAAAAAAACAAACGTAAATAAAAAGTCACAGTAAGAAGTAACGTAACAGCAACAAAATGAAGCGATGATGACATCTTTGTTTTCAATTTAACTTTGTCACGCAGGTTAATGCTCGACAAGAAATTACCTATCAGACAAAGCAATTGCACTGTTTATTTACATCATCTCTGTGTTTGAGTGCACGCTGTCTTCGGTCATGGTGAGACGTAAACTCCGTATAATCACATTTTCTTGGAGTTCGAGAGCGTCCATGCGAGCGAAAGTTCCCGAACCTTTCTTTCAAGAAGTACCGCTTCATAGGTGGTATGTGGCTCGTGGAAAGTTCCTATGGTTTGATGTGTCATTGCAGTCGGTATCTTTCTGTTCTGACCCTGTTAGGATGTTAGAATATATCGAAAGTTTTTAGGTTGAGCATGCAGTTTCTTTGCAACGTGGTGCAATTCATTAGTAATTGACTAGATTTAAGGAGAAGATTTAAAAATCGATCACGTATAGCTACGTAGCGTTCAGCTGCAGGAAGTTTTCAAAATGGACCTGGGGGATCATAATAGGAATAAGAAGCTGTAATAACGACCTTTGCTAAAGATCCCCGAAAGTGATCAGTCGAATCTATAGTGATAACTCAGCAGACAATGGCGTTATGTTCAGAGGGTGTGGATTCGAACGTAGGCAACGGGGGCCGCATTTCGATGATGGCGTAACGCAGAAACACGCGTTTAGTACCTAAGCGTTAACATGCATGCGTTGAAGAACCGTTAACGGAAAGCGGGCCTTGTAATCACGTTTTACTTGGCATGTAATACCCCAGAATGTTTTTTTTTTTGACGATAAGTCCACAAACGGCCCTCTTTATTTCAGTGTCGCCTGTAGACCTCATTGCCCAACGCTAACTCGCACACATTGCCAGGCCACTCGATGCGAGTCACTCAGCAGCGCTAACCGTCGTGGTAGTCTACTTGGCTGTTGACCGCAAGGTAGCGGGAGCGAATCCCTGCCATAGCGGCTGCATTTAGACGAAATGCTACAGGAGGCCAGTGTGCTTAGATTCAAGGGCACGTTAAAGAACCCAAAGGGGTCGAAATTGCCGGAGGCCTACATTAGGATGTCTCTCACAATCGAACTGTTCTTTTAGGACGCAACATGGCAACAATTATTATATTATCTCTCAGGGGTGCTAGAAGGCGCTGCACTTTCAACGTGTCCGTGGTGGCCATTGTCCCGTCGCCATGTTAGCACGCGCTTATCGCATGTATGCTTGTTGATAGCTATGTGTATAAGTGCCACATCAGAAGATATGCCAGTTGAAACTGCCTGGTCTATAGAAGATATGCCAGTTGAATTTGCCCTCGTGGCAGATGGTCTATAGACGGCTCCCTACCGCGCCGCGCCACCGTCTCCGACGACGTCCAGCTCGCCGTCCAGGTCTGAGCCGCAGGATCCCGGGTTCGAGTCGTCCGTCAGGGCGTGCCTTGTCGCCACCGCTGTCGAGGAACTGTCCTCGCCCACCTTGCGCATCTGCTTCTTGTGCTTCATGCGCCGGTTCTGGAACCACGTTTTAACCTGCGTCCAGCGTTTGGCGAAATGATACGCTACTACTCTCGTCTCTTGGACAAGTTGGTACGAGAGACATAGAAATTCAGAACAGCGCTAAAGAAGGAAGGTCGAGCGAAGAAAAAAAAAAGTACTCGACCAATAGCGCCACTTGGAACAATTTATTTATTTAATTATTTACAGATACTGCAGGCCCATCATGGGCCCTAGCGGGAGGGGCAAATGTGTAAAGGCTAGAGATTTACACACAGTGCATCGAAAGGAAAAATAAACGAAAGAAATACAGTGTCTAATTAGTACAGCTTAATTAGCTTCAAAGTAATAACACCTTGAGCATCTCAAAAAGTGCGAGGATGCAATGTGCGAGATTCAAACAACAAAGGAACATTATTAAAGTAATATACACACATCAATATTAAAGCACTATTCACACAACAAAGGAACATTATTAACATCAACTACCATGAATCCTGAAGACTACCGATTGCTTTTATACTATGCACTTGTTATATTGGCAGCGAATCCCAATAATTATTTGTACGCGGAAAAAAATAAGAACTTGAAAAGGTTAGTTTTGGTGCTGTATGAAGTTAGTGATTTATTGTGTGGATGTCTTGTAGTTCATGACGCCAATGGCGCCACGAAGGGCTCAGGGGGAAGATTTATTCTATGGCAGCAGTCGTCACAGTCGCGTAAGACATTGGTCCCAGACTTTTCGGCTGTGGAAGTGGCTGATAAACAGTCAGGGGTCACCGACCGCCATGAACGTTAAAAAAGATCTGTGGTTATAACTTTGAACATCAAGAAACAACGTGATATGTCCACTGAGTAGATGTGGGGTGGGGGTGGGGGGCATAATTGACACTCCCATTCGGATGATTAGTTGGCTAACCTTCAGTCCGAACGCTTAACCACTTCTTTTTGTAAATAATAGCATTTCTTCATATCTGATAGCTATGCATATACGCTGCCCTTTCTAGGTGCAGTGAATTGATCAGTATTATTATGTAACTAAATTAATGTTGCGCGCTTGAATTCGAAACTCGGCTCCTATAAGAGTGCGCAGGGTACCCCTTCAGAGGGGGCACCAGCTCATCGTGGAGTCCCCCCCCCCCCTTCTTTCTATTGAGTCAATGTATGGGGCAAACATCGCCCCCCCCCCCTCCTTAGTGATTTTGGAAGAGGGGCGGCCCCCTGTCTGCCCCGCCTTTGTGGGCATGCCTATCAGCACTTGAGATTGTGAATGGAACGGACGGATGTATTCTCCTTTTCAGGCAAATGTATAGGACAAATGCCTTAGGCTGGTGCAACGCCATGCGTATAGCGTTTTGTTTAATGTAGAATATGCTTCATGTTCGCTCCCCCAATACAAATAATTCAGGGGCATAACGCAAAGAAAAACGTGCCCCCCTTTCCTTTCCGTTCCGATAATCAGTTTACCATTATCTCTAAGTCTCTCTTTATTCGAACACTGTACTTGAGATAAACGCCAGACCTAATGCTCTCCATAAGAAACAGGTGACGATAAGGCCCGCACAGGGGCTCCTCTAATCACGCCGGTCGAGTGAAAGCTCTTTGGAACTTGGCGCGGACAAGCGACTGAATTGCGACTAATGACGCCATCGATTTGAAAACTCATTGACAGCCGGACCACCACCGTTCAGATTGAGTCAGGAAAAAAAAAGGGGGGGGGGGGGGGGGAGGGTCAACACCGAGATTAAACATTGTTCACTAAACGACGCAGTGGACGCCTCGCAGTCCTCCCCTCTTCCATTCTCCGTTCAATCGCGCGTTTCCTCTCTCCCACACCACACAACGGCAATGCGGGAAAAAAAAGGGATGCTGTTGCCTCGAGGCACAATTTGCAGAGTTTAAAGCTCGGTCGGACCTCTGCCGGCGCTCGGACGCTGCTTTTTCGACTGCGTATCGGGGCATAACAAGAAATAATAACGAAACAACAAAACGAGAGAGGGGGAGAGAGATAAGGGGAGAGATGAAACTACGAAAGTCGCAAACGAGTCGAGCGCAACAGTCGAGTGCGTTTGCTGCGTTGAGCGCCCGCATGGTCGCTGCGGGCGGGCTACATCGAGGACAAAAGCGGTGTCGTGATCGAGACAATGGGCGCAGCGATGTTATTGTATCGCTCCCGCCACACAAGGACACGTCAGAGGGCGCGTCGTGCGCGGCAGCAGCGATGGAGATCTCTCGGCTTTTTGTACACGCTCTGACCCCCCACGTCCTCGTCGCCGCGCCGCCGTTGTCGTCGTCGTCTTCCCCAGAGGCACGTTTCGGACCACTTCGTCGAGTGCGCAGCTTGTTTTCCCTCCTTGCATTTGCACCCCCCCCCCCCAACTGAAGTTTTATGCGCCAGTTTCGCTATTTTATTTGGACAGTGCGGGTTCCGATGGAAGAACAGAAGAGTCTGCGCACGTGGCTTCGCTGCGTTTGGACACTGAAAGAGTTGTGGTAGATGACCTTTTTTTTTTCTACCTTTCTGAACTGATACAGTATGCTCTATTTCTACTGTAAAGGTATCTTGAATCGTTCTTCTGAACAAGAACACAAGGAAGCTATCGCGTATCTATATAGTATATCAGCTGATGCGGCGCACTTGCACTTGCGAGGGCGTGAACAAATAATTATGAATAAAACTTGTGTTCATGAATGTTCAACAAAGATGCTTTAATGCCAGAATAAATTTCAGGGATGCGGAAACAGAAATACAGTTACACGTGTGCTGATCCTAAATTCTACGGTATCACGTCCCTACTCAATAGCTTGATCGCAAGGCACGCAGTGGTGGGAACGTACAGCATAATTTTGATAATCTGGTGTTCTTTCACGCGCACTGAAATCTATCACTTCAAACACGGGCGCTTTTGCACTGCGCCCCCAAAAAATCAGGCCTCCATAGTCAAAAATCAGCCCATGACCACTTGCTTATTAAGTATAACAGCGTCGAATGAAAGCTTCATTTATAACGCGGCGCCAATGCAGTGGTCAACTGAGAAGCTCAAGTAATAGTGAATTAGTTATTGGAGGGCGATAGACCCATAACTAGTCATTACATACACCATGATTATACCCCTTAGTGAAAGGCGCCTCTCACCACAAGCATGCTAAACCTAAACAAAGATACGCTCTCGCTATGTATATAAAGAGTACTACGAGATCTAGGATCAGTATTGCACAGCATACATGCGTCGAAGATGCAAAGTTTCCACACCACCGGCAAACAATGCCTGTGCAACACGTACCTGCGTCTCGGACAGGCTGAGCGCGGTGGCCAGCTCAAGGCGCTCCGGAGTGGAGAGGTAGCGCTGCGCCTCGAAACGCTTTTCTAGTCCGTGCAGTTGCTGGTCGCTGAACACGGTGCGCGCCTTGCGGCGACGGCAGGGCCGTGAACCAGGCTCGCAGCTGCCCGGGCCCCCAAACAGGCTCGGAAACGCCAGCCCTGCACGTAAACAACATCTCTGGTGGCTTGTGTTCCTTGCAGCTTTTGTATTTTTGTCGATAGCGCTACATTTTGTCTACATGAATCTGAATTGCATGTAGCATATGACGTACAGTCTCGGCACCCATTCAGGACCGGCATTCCCAAAAAGCTCCCAATCTATAAAAAAATATTTCGTAAGAGAAAACAAATCAAGCGATCCCGAATCTGGGCATGTGATTAGCGACCGACTAATGACAACTCATGAAATAAAAGCTTTCCGAATTGATTGATTGATATGTGGGGTTTAACGTCCCAACACCACTATATGATTATGAGAGACGCCGTAGTGGAGGGCTCCGGAAATTTAGACCACCTGGGGTTCTTTAACGTGCACCCAAATCTGAGAACACGGAGCTTTCCGAATTCTGTACTGATTATCTCGCTTTATCATTTCATGATCTATTATACTGCACTCTGTCTTACTTTGTAGATGTGAAGCAGCTATTTGACTCACGTGTGTAAAGCCGTGCGTACGTGCGTTCTCACGAACGCACCGCAACGCGTCCCCCTCGCCGTGTTGGAGTGGTGCCAAGTAGGTCACGCCGCAGCTGCTCTTGGACGTCACGCTCCACTCACCTGTTTTCCTCGCAGGTGCGCACTGACTTCACTCTCCCCCTCACTCGCAAAACGCTCGCCGCAGCGCCCGCGGATGCCGGCTCCTCCGCCCGCTCGCAACACACTTCTCGCTCGCTTCACCCTCTCCACCGCCCGCAACACTCGGCCACCCGTTGAGTCGAAACACTGTTTCGGCTCGTTTATCTGCGATGAAACTTACATGAAACCTAACCCGCCTTCGGCGTCTTTGCGTTTCAAACAAACGTTTACTCGAGTCAACGCTACGCCGAGTTTTGCTCCAAACAGTCCATCCAGCACCCGCGTCGACGCATATTTCAACCGGGACAACGCCGTGTGCACCATTGCTACTTCTGTTCTGTTCCGTTTTAACTGTTTTGCTGTGGAGAGGTTGGGGTGCATATTGCCTCGGCTACTCCATATCACAAAGTTCTGTAGCAAAAAAAAAGAATAATACAGAACGGTACCCAAAAATTAACAATACGAAAAAAAACATAGTAGCACACTGAAACCAGTTCAAATATCATGCCAATACACAGTTTTCTTCGAGCAGTTTCCTTCCTTTTCTACTGTCAGTGTATGCATACACACATTTTATATATATCCATCTCTGGCTGTCTATCATAAGCACTTGTCTGGTCCGGTCTCCACTAAAAAGTCTGTCAGGAAGATTATTGCCTTTTTCTGGAGATGCATCTCAGACCATGGTCCAAGTAGTTTATTGTGAGGGGCCGTCTGTCCAAACTTGCTAATTTGTTCTTTAATTTTTCTGTTTAATTCGCGTATTTGACGCACCCCAAAATAATATGGCAAACATTTCCTTCTGCATGACCACAATGACATTCGGGTGAGTTCGATCGATGTATCCTGTGCATGAAGCTGTTTGTGTATGCTACTTCCAATCAAAGTCGGTGGTTTGTTGTATCTAGGTGTCGTGGGAGGTCTGTCGCTATGGAAAGTTTTCTGTGTAGATCAACTTCATAAAGTACTGTTTCCTTTGATTTAGGGCTCTCAAACCACTTCTCTATCGAACAATGGTTAGCTCCTTGCGTTATAAAATGTCGAATATACGCCCCAGACATAAGGATTGCGCAATCCCGTTCTTCCTTCAATGCTTTCTCCGCGAGGCTGTCAGCCTCTTCATTTCCTTTTATTCCAGTGTGGCTGGGTATCTATTGGAATACGATGTTGTGACCCTGCGGTGAGGCATATTCGACAGTTTCTGCAATACATTGTGCTATTTCACCATTTTTGTAAAGTGATCTCACATTTCTGATTAGCTGAAGAGCAGGTTTGCTATCCGTGCATATCACCAACTTTCGTGGCTCTGCAGATAAGCTTAACTGTTTTAAAGATAGCCACCGATTCTGCTGTCGTCTATGAAGATTTGTGCAATAATTTGTGCATTCTCTTTCTCTGGATTTCGGGTATAAAGACCACACAGGCTGAAGCTTTTCAGTGCATGATCCATCTATACATCTTCGTTTTTTATTATACATTATATGAAGCTGCCAAAGGTGGCTGTCGAGCCTTTGCATATACTAAAGCACTGGAAGTTGACCATGGCAACCCCAGACTCAAGCTCCTTGCCAATAACAAGTGAAGTCTCCTTTCGGTGGAAGCTAGAAGTCCGTGCAGCAGAAGCTGTGAGTAACTTACAATGGGGCGTATCCAGGCAACATGTAGGGCTAAGAATGACTCTGTAGTACCACCCCATTTGGCCCCGCAGAGATGCCGGAGGATTCAAATGGCCTGATTCACTTTTTGTTCAAGGGACTGGACATGAGGCGACCATGTTAGTCTCCGGTCTAAAAATACTCCCAAGAATTTATGAGAATTTATCTTGAACCTTGTTCTGACGCAGAAATGTATGGATCGAAGATGAAACATGTTCTAACAAAAACTACTCGTGCAGTACCCATTCCAGATGGGTATTCAGGTGTTGACGCTGAGTATGAGAGGCTTCGGGTAATACGACGCCGATCTGAACGAAAATATCGCAGGTCAGGAAATTTAGAAGATTTCAAGGTTGCACAGAAAGTACATTCTGCAATGCATAACCAACTGCAGAAGCTTTCAACCAAAAGGTGGCAAGATGTATGTGCCTCACTGCTACGTCGAATCCCATCAAGGTTCCCTTCGGAGAGATGGTCCCTTTTAACTCCCACTGCAGTCTTCCTCTCTGTTAACGTTAAGTGTGTCGCTTTTCGCGATGATGGCTGCCGCTTCTCTCGGCGCACGCATACGTATACAAGCGAGCCGCCGATGAGGTGGTTTCCGAGTAGAAGCGCTGACGAGTGGCTGCCGTTCGAAGAGTGCAGCGAGGCAAGAGAGAAAGAAGCGCAGTGGCGCCATTCATTAGCGCGGCGGCACAAGTGCCTTGGGACGAGGACGCAGCAAGACCGTCGGATTGGGGGGAAAGAAGAGAACGAGGCGGTTGGACACGATAATTAGACGCTTCTTAGCCCGTTCCCCTTAATGACATCACGAGCGCCGCCGCGGAAGCCCGCTACGCCGCTGTTTGTGCTGCTGATGCTGGCGTTTATACGCCGCGCGAAAAAGAGGAGGCACGATACTTCAAGAATAGCGTGCAGGACCCCGAGGGAGCGGGAGCTTCTGCGTTTGCTCGAACCGCTGCGCGGTCTTGTCGTATACGCAATTCTAGCAGCATCGCCATTCCGCTCAGTATATAGAAGACGGTCTTCGAATACGTAGCAGTCACTGCTGGTGACCGCTTCAAAGCGAAAATCTGTTGGTGCTATATATTTCCAGCAAACGGATACGCATATGTTTCAGAGTGACTCCGACTTCCCATCGTGAATAGTTTGTTACAAATAGCATAATGTCCAGTGTCATGACTACTGCGCATGTAGAAATAAAAGGGAAAAATGGGCTTTGTTTATATCTGCTACAATATACTTTGTTCCACATATCCGTATATGTGGTGTCGGTTATATACAGCTTATATATACCCGAAAAGTCTGGTCTCTACAAGCATCCCATGTACACGTCTATAATAAACCTATACGTGTATACATAAAGAATGGCTTCAGTGAAGCGCGCAAAGCACATGTTTTAGAAGCGCGTCACTTTGGCGAGCACGTTGCTCTGCTCCAGCTGAATGCTTCGCACTCAGCGTACATCTGCGCCTCTCGCTCGGAGGGCATCCAGTGCAGCGGCAAATAACAGAAGCAAATCTCTCTCTCTCTCTCTCTCTATCTCTCTCTCTCTCTCTCTCCATCCATCAATCTCTATCTCTCTCTCTCTTCATCCATCCCTATCTCTATCTCCATTCATCACTATCTCTATCTCTCTCTCCATCCATCCCTGTCTCTACCTCTATCTCTCTCCATCCATACATATCTCTATCCCTGTCTCTCTCTATCTCCATTCATCCCTATCTCTCTCTCCATCCATCTCTATCTCTATCTCTATAAATCTCTATAAATAAAATCTCTCTCTGGGATTCTTCAACTTGCACCTAAATTTAAGCACATGGGCCTCAAGCATTTCGCCTCCATAGAAATGCGCCCGCCGCTGCCGGAATTCAAACCCGCGACCTTCGGGTGAGCATTCAAGCACCACCGCGGTTGGTGCTGTACGTAGAGGAGTTCGTTGTAGACGTCTAAAGTATTACCGTATTTTCCAAACAAATTTCGGTGCCCGAGTTGGTTTCACGGTACTACTTTGTCATAATGCGAAGAAGGCGGCTTACGCCAATACACGGCAATTTTTTTCTGTTTGTTTGTATCTTTTCGCTGTTTGTCGTTTGGAATATGGGTTATATGCAGAAATGATGCTCTAGGCAATAACTTACGTCATGTGACACGGTGACCCAACACTTTTAACCGCCACTGTACGTGCTTGTTGGGCATCGGAAGCCTTTACTATAGCCGGCCGTAATGTTGGAATTGTTATTTATTATCATACTCAGCGTGCTTCTTGGGCTATTGGGCGCACCGGTGATGTTAGACTTTTTCTCTACGTCAAACTGTTCTGGCTGCAAGACTGTAAGCTTTGCCGAGATTAGCAAGGTTTCTCTTCGTTTTACGGCAGCCAATGCTTTAACAACCGCAGTAGAATCCTTCCTGACAACCGAGACGGCGAGAAATCATGGGAAATTTCACGCTATAGCATGCGATGGTGCCTACTCACTGTATGCGGCGCCCTTGCAATCACACGCGTGAATATCTCATTCTGTAATCAACAGCCAGCTTCATGTAACGTACACCCAGCTTCTTGGGGCGTATCGCACTGCCCGATGTTCAATATATGAAGTGTGTTCATGCACGTTCAATGCTTAATTGTCATGTTCGAAAATAGTTCAATATAAAGATAATGCGATTCGCCTGAGTTCGATATAGTCGGCTTTGGAAGTTAACGCCTAGAGCTTTAGTCTTCTTTTTGCAAATTTGTACAGCGCGAGCGACAATTCGCTGTTTCACTCGCCTGTATATGAGGCTACTCCGACTAGAAATGCAAAATGATGCGGCTCCCGAGAATATTCATTGCCCGCGCCACAAGCTGCCCCTGGTAGCAGGCTTCTTGATACACACAAAGGTCTAAGGTGAAGCACAATTCCATGAGAGATATTGACACAGCATTTATAATAAAAAAATATCGTTACTGCGGCTGTTTTCCATGTTTAGACAAAAGTACAATAGAAATATCTTTAAAAGTACTTCAGTGCTGCTTTGTTTTCTTACTTACTCGTCATCTATCGCGTTCGGGAATACTACAGCTAGTGCTCCAGTGTGCGTGAATATATCAGAGCGAAATATTAAGGCGATCAAAGTCTAAACAGAGGAAGTCCAGGGGGGATACGTAGACACAGAGGGGAATCCGCCCGCCCCCCGATTTTCGCATGCCCCTCTCCCCCTCCCTTTGAAACTCTCCCCTCTTAATAGTGCCCAAAAGTTTACCAACAATAGGCAAGTCCTTCCATGTCCCCCTCCCCCAGAAACACGCAGGCCCGCACTAAGTGAGCTCATTGTCATCCCCTAGAAAAAAAAAATCCTGGTGCCGCCCTTGATTGTATACAATTCCAAACTCAGTGGCCGAATTACTATATAATCAATTCGCCAGTTGTTTTATCTGTCATATTTTATTAACAGCTAATTCGTGTCGCTATAGCTAGTGTTTCACTTTACGCAATGAATCGTGGTGCATGTCACCTGCCAGTTCGTGATCACGGAAATGGCAATATGCTGTCATTCAGTTATGATGACGTCATGAAAGAGGGTGTGGTGTAAATCGGAGCTTCGTAAGAAATTTTATCTTGAACATCACCCCCCCCCCCCCTCCGGCTGCTTTCTGAGGTAATTGAACGACCATTTGCTGGTGCTTGCTTTGTGTCATGTTTCTCTTTAGCTGTTGGGATGCGTTTATATACCGCAGGTAGTCGTTCGGTGAGACTTTTATGACGCGGCTTTTATTACTAGCTGTATTGATACAGTAAAAAACGAGAAGTTATATAGATGTCACGTGAACACTCTCCATCCGTGCATAAGCTTGTGCATTAGGCAGGCTTCAGCGTTTGGGACCTGGGCTTTTGCGTAATGATTTTGGATGAGCGCTATGACAGAATTTTCAACAGATAGAAAATGAATTGGTGGTGGAAGAAGTAAAAAATGTCAACATTAGCACGTTAAATAATCACTTAGATTCAATACAAATGATGCAAATGTCTATAGACATACAGTTTTTTTTCTGAAGTTTGATAAATCTGTAGAAAATTTGAAGTATGAATAATGTGCACGTAATTTATTCGGAAGTCTTGGCCTAGCCACGGGAACCGTCCGTATCACAGCACGCCCAAATGCAGTGCCACTCTCGCCATGTCCTACAGGGTCTGGAGGGGTGGTGAGAAAGGAGTCCGTAGCGCAGGCTTTCCAACAATGTGTGCTACCAGGGTTATATACCAAAAAGTTGGGGAAATTCATAATAGGTGTTTATAATGATCACTTGCCAAGCGGTGCTTCTTTTGTTTTTTGTTGTTTGCCACCTCATAATTATGAGTTCATAATGCCATTCCTTCTTTATAGGCTTTATCAAATTGAAGATGTTTATATATTCTACACTAATTCAATTTTTATGCATATACAACATATAAGTTACCCGAAGTAATCACTTCCCAGTCGTCTAAGTTTTGTATGCGCACATTTTACAGCTTGGTTTTTAAGTCGTTTACAGTGACAGATCAAATTAGGAAGTCTCTCCCCCCTCCCCCCCACTTTCATTTGCCGCCATGTCTTATAAAACTTTCAGAAAATACTGTTCTCCTCCTCCAACCTGTAACGTTCGAAAAGTTTGGCAGATTGTACACCATTCAGTGCGTTATCCTTGCCCAAGTAACTGAAACACTCTCTCCAAGCGATTAATAAATTTCATTTAATTTCACCAACTCACTCCCGACCACGCTGCCGCATAACTTTAAGCTATTGAGCGGGAACAAATAGTGGTAGTGAAGAGCCGGTGAAAAAATTACAGGTGAGGCGCTGAGCTTATGGTTGGATTTCTTTGTTATTGCGAGGAAATGCAATATATGTAGATGCTCTGTGTAGATCAACTAAAACGAACATCTGCACAGAGACCGGCTGAGAAAGCTTGCGTTAAAGGCTCTGTACCAAGTTATCTACTGTATTGTTTCAGAAAGAAAAATATACACAGCACGTGAGATTGATTGACATGTCGGATTTAACGTCCCAAAACGACCATTTGATTAGAGCACGTAAGATTAGTGAAGCATATCTCTGCACACGGAATTCATGCATAGCTGTTAGATCGGTTATTTGCTAAAAACGTGATGGTCTGCTGTGCCAACTCATCGGAATCGATGACTTCTATATCTGCTCAGGTACTGTGTTTTTGTTGGTCTTCTGCCTGGAACTTTTGCATATATTGCATTTTCAATGCAAGTGGTTGCATAGTTTTTTTTTCACGCACTGTCTCGCCTCAATAGCGATCTTCATCATCATCATCAGCCTGACTACGTCCATGCACTGCAGGACAAAGGCCTCTCCCATGTTCCACCAGTTAACTCGGTCATGGGCTTGCTGCTGCCAATTAATACCCGCAAAGTTCTTAATCTTATCTGCCCACCTAACCATCTGTCTCCCCCGAACCCGCTTGCCTTCTCTGGGAATACAAGTTAGTTACCCTTAATGACCAGTGGTTATCCTGACTACGCGCTACATGCCCGGCCCATGTCCATTTCCTCTTCTTGATTTCAACTATATGATATCCTTAACCCCTGTTTGTTCCCTAATCCACTCTGCCCTCTACTTGTCTCTCAAAATACACCTACCATTTTTCTTTCCATTGTTCGCTGCGTCGTCCTCAATTTAAGCTGAACCCTCTTTGTAAGTCTCCAGGTTTCTGCTCCGTAGCTAAGTGCCGGTAATATACAGCTGTTATATACGTTCCTATTGAGGGTAGTGGCAATCTACCTGTCATAATTTGAGAGTGCTTGCGATCTTATCAAGTCACAATAATTGGCCAACCATTACCAGTTAGGTAGATTTCTGCAGAATATTGTTAACATTCTTTACTTTATTTTTGTAAATGCTTACTCTCGTATACTTTATTGTGTGATAATATGTGTGTTTAAAAAAAGTGTAACGATTTCGAGTGATTCGTACTGAACTATGGACTCAGCCTCGCACAGAATGTTAACATCGAATATGGAATCATCATTGTCTCCATATACAGCTTCACATTTTATCTTCGCGAGTTAAACTTGTTAAACTTTCTGACTCACATCGTCTAAAAATAACTTGTTCAATGACATTTTAATAACTTGCAAATGACATTTTTATTCAATTGTACAAACTCTGTTAAAGCACGCAAACGAGAAATACGACATCTTATGCACTGGGTGAATTAATGTATTCTGTGGGACCCGCTTTCTCTACACGAAATGACGAACACTTACACTGCATGCCTATCACATGCCTTTATTATACCTGCGTATAACCAATTATCTTTCCTTCTCTCTTCTTCTGAGTATTCGGCTAGCTTCCCAGTCATTCGTACTAGTAATTTAGATGAACCACACTGAAGGTGCACATCATCACTTCATAACGAGTCAATATATCTCGCCGCGTAGCCTCATCGTAGTGACCAGCGTCATGTCTGCAGTTGACTTTAGCGCAATCTGAACCCATACCTATGAAAGCGATCTTCCAAAGACATGAATCAGAATTCACGAAGTATTTTGTTCGTATTAGGGCCGTTTGTCACCATGGTAGACCACTTTAGAAAGTATTCCGCCGTTGTTATGCTGACATCTGCTCGCGTGCGACACGGATACAGTTCGTGGTGTGTTTGAAGACGCCCCCATAGTCTCCGCTGTTCGCCTTTTGTAGCATATCGTTACAAATTTGGTACACGTACCTGGCGACAGAAGGAAGGACCCTTGCTCGATGGACTTGCCGATGAAATGAGCGGCCGGAAGGAATGCCGCCACGGCCGATCCCTGAGAGTATATTGGACCAAGCGGCGGCGTCTGCAGGCAAGTCGGTCCACTGGTCGCACCGCCTTGCGAGGCTGATCCGCGGACGTGCATGGGAGACGGGCCCAGGCAGAGCGGGGAGTCGGCTAGCGGTGTCCCAGGTGGCGCCGTCAGAATGTCAGCGATCATGAACGAACGGCGCGGCGACATCTTGTGTCGGTAGCCAGTCGCCGTCTCACCGCCGTCGTCCTCGCTCACGGCCTTGCGGTAGAACGCGCTCATCATCGTGTCGCTTCTCTCAGCGTTCGCAGTCGTAGACGCGGCCACCGACTCCGGGAAACGCATCGCCCACCACGAGGTAGAAAGCCGTCGTTCTCACGTCGACAACGAGCCGCTCCGCCAGGGTTGCTGATCGTCGGGTGCCCTCATGACGTATCATCGGCCGTCGCTGACGCCAATTCAACGCGTGTGCCGCCGATCTGTTTTCAACACGTTTTAGTCGGCCGAGGCAGAAAAGGGGAACCTAAAAGGCCGAAAACAGGCGCAGGAGGTGAGGGAAGCCCGAGCAGCGTAGGGCCCTCGTTGTTATCTTTATTATCGCGTCTTCCTTCCCGACCTCTCCCCCGCTACGGTGCGACGCCGCGCATGGGAAAAGTGCTCTCCGGGTTCCCTAATGGGGACGCAGCCCGACGCGGCACACTTCGGGAGCCACCGCGCTTTCCTCTTCTCCCGGGCCAATGGGGGGCTTAGCACCGGAGGCGGTGCCAGCTCCTCGCAGGCTCCGCCTTCTCCGATCTGGTGGCAGCGTCGGCGTCTTTCCCTGCGCGCCCGTCTATAACCTCATCTGAGGGAGGGGAGGTACATCGCATGAAGATCGGGAGAGGGCGATGTGCACCATCGAACCGACAAAAAGCAATGCTCACCCTCCTCTCTCTTTTACGCCGCTGAAACTGCGACGACGCGGAAGGCCTCTTTTTTCCCCCACAATTTTCCTCTTTCTCTTTTTTTTTCGTGGCAAGATGGTAAAAAGAGGAGAGAGAAATGGCGCGAGTTAATCTGATTTTCTGGCGTTTCGATTCGGGTTTTAGCGAGTGGATGGGTCTCCCCACCTCCGACATTCCCCCTTCCCGTTTCCCTCGCTTGCTCCCCAAATGTCTTTTCTTTTGTTCCGTTAGCTCCCAAACCTCTTCACTCTGCAGCTATTCCACTCAATTTCGCCAAAGAAAAAAAAACGCACGCATTGTGTCGGAATCCTTTGAGTGGAAATGGTTGCTTCTTTCATGTCTGATTTCGGCACCGTCGACAAAAAAAGAGAAGGAAAAGAAAGCATTGTTATCGAGTCCGTCTCTTTTCTTCCGAGTTAAAAGAAAAAGACGACGAGGTTGTTACGCTTTCTCGGCGATTCAGTCGGAATGATATCGAAGTCGAGCTACGAGAGTCGCTAAAGAGGGAAACACTCCAATTCACTCCAAATAATGATAAGTGGATTTGTGAAGGCGCTCCACGCTGCTTTAATATTTCAGGGCAACTTGCTGGACGTCTTTGTGCGCATACGATTGAAACGCATGTCGTTAATACTGCACCACCATCATCACCATCGTCACTTTTATCTTTGATTGATGGATATGTGGGGTTTAACGTCCCAAAGCCACCATATGATTATGAGAGACGTCATAGTGGAGGGCTCCGGAAATTTCGACCACCTGGGGTTCTTTAACGTGCACCCAAATCTGAGTACATGGGCCTACAACATTTCCGCCTCCATCGGAAATGCAGCCGCCGCAGCCGGGATTCGAACCCGCGACCTGCGGGTCAGCAGCCGAGTACCTTAGCCACTAGACCACCGTGGCGGGGCCACTTTTATCTTTGTGTCCACTACCGGACTAGGAACTCAAGCAGTGATCTTCAATTATCATTTTCTCCGTACTGGTCAAAACCGATTTGTGCCTTCACATTTCCTAAGCTCGTCACAGTATACTTATTTTTTTTTTACGCTCCTAGAACGCTCCGAACTCGGATATATCGAACTACCCCCAAAAACAGGAATTACTTCGATATATCGAATAACTTTGTCAACAACTTTTGCTGAAGTCGTTGTATCTTCAATACAAATTTCGGCGATGAATTTGGCTTAACGCATTGCTCACTGTAATCTATAAGAACGAAGCCTTCACGGCAATTCACATGGCTTTTTTTTTTTTTTCGCAATTTGTAGTTGGGGTGCGAGATTATATGCAGGAGTGGGTTATACTCGAAAAACTGCAGTAACAATGTAGAATGAGCCTGTAGTCTGCCTTGACTCTAATTTCGACCTTGTTGTTTTTTTAGTATCGTGCTTCTTGGAATGCTGTACCCACCGGTGACGTAATACCTTTTTTCCTCGCTTTCGACTGTAGTGATTATCGCTAGCTTTGCGGAAAACAGCAGCTAATTCTGTATCCATCGTGTTAACGAAACGAACAGAGAACGGAAAAGAACGGAAACCAAGTCTTCCTCGTCGATCTATACCATGAAGCCATGCCAGTGCTTGTAACTGCTCTGTAGAAAAAAAAAAGGAAAGAAAAAAGGTGCCTTAATAATGCAAGTATACCGGGAGGACACTACTCGACGCATGTAATACTGAGTGGCGGAATTGGAGCTCGCACCAGGCGCCTGACATTTGCGCCACGAGGGAATGATTTAATGCTAATTACAAAGTGTGCAGCTGCTCAAATGCACGTGGCATTCGTACTTGGTGTATCACCATTTCGGGGAAGGAATAACGGTGACGTAATAAGTATTTCGCCGAATTGCAAAAGGAAGAATTATGGCGTGCACAGTTGGCACTTCGTATACATTCATAGCGATGTGCTCACTACACGCCCACATTTCAAGTTTTTCGAGCTTAACGGCGCTTTACCTGATTAAATAGTTATCTTAATACTTACAATATTAATTATTCTTGTATTTGTCAATGATATTGCGTAGTTGAGTGTTTAAATCGAACAGACGTTACAAAAATCAACAATAACGTTATTCATGCACAGTATAGCGTGCAAGCATGCAGTGACTGCATAAGAAGTAAAAGATGTTGAAAAGTTGTATACTGTTGTTCGAGTACATTTTCGCTGTACAAATTAATGCTTTTTTTTTCACCTTTCCTTTGCACTTGCACAAATTTGCTATTTTAATGAAATACATTTTCAAGAATGAGAGGATTGCTGAAACCTTGCCTCCTTCTTGGGTGCAGAACCCGTGTCACTTTGTTTTGTTTTTACTTCTCTCTGAAAGGTTGTTTGCTTGTTGAAGGTCGGCGGCGTCTGATAATTCTAAGATGCACACTTTGTCGATGCTGTGGTGAGTGATGATGATGAGTTCTAGCTAAGTTGATAAGAATGACTTGGCAGCTTTCAACGGCAGCCGTTACACAGTTCACATGGTGTAACACTGTGCAATTGTATCGACCTATATAGTTATCTTAATATTAATATTCTTTCGTTTGTTGATAATATTGTGTAGTTGAGCATTTAGATCGAACATACGTTACAAAAACCAACAATTAACTTTATTCATGCACAGGAACGCGTGCAAGCATGCAGTGACTGCATAAGACATAAATGATGTTTGAAAGTTGTACTGTTTTATTTGAACACATTTTCGCTTTGCAAAAGAGTGATTTTTTTTCACTTTTCCTTTGTAGGCGCCGTCACCATACTTTAGCAAGCATTCCACGTGGAAGCGTCTGCGTGACGACTGGAACAGCAGCTTCACAGCTGCTGTTTCAATTGTCACGTGATCATAAAAGGGTGGCGAGCTTTGAGTTGGACGGAGCCCTGTGCGCAGACGTCGCCACAAGCGCATCAGTATGTCGACGGTGCCAACTGCTCTTTACAAGCATGGAATATGTCTATACGTTTCTGATATGCAACATAATGTGCTTAAAGGAGAGCATCGGACATTCGTGCGTATACATGAGGTGTATAGTCGTGGCAGTGAGGAAGTCAGCGGTCGAATCTAAAGACCGAGCTCACTATTGGGATCATGCCCACGCAGCGAAACGAAACACTCACCGCATTACAATCAATAAAAGCAGCGAGTATGGATTCGATCTTCGGTGAAACGCGTCGATTTGTGCGTCATCGTATGTTTCATCAATATCGCTGGTGTGAGCGCGTCATCTTCAGAATGTACCCGACCACGCATGTGTGTAGTAAATGGATGCAAATTGAGCATAGAACATTAACCATTCGAGATTGTCCCCATACGATCAGGCGTGGCCTGCGTCGAGATATTACGTGAATCCGGTGCAAACGCAGTCATAATAAGACACGAGTGTGTGTGTGTGTGTGTGTGTCCAAGTTATATGTGATACCTGATCACTGCTACAGGGAATTGACACCTTCACGTGCGTGTGTGTGGCTTGTGTGTCTTCTGCTCGTGCGTAAATTTTGTTTTCAACAAACGTGAGCACAAGAAATTTAGAACCATCTCCCCGAAGGAAACTTTGATTGAATGCGAAGCAGCAGCGGTGCGCACGGCGTTGACCCGGTTGAAACGGGCGTCGACGCGAGTGCTGGAAGAACGGTTTGAAGCGAAAGTCGGTGTAGCGTTTACTCGAGCCAACGTTTGTTTAAACGCAGACATCGGGTGCGGGTTGGGTTTTGTAAAAGTTTAGTGTATGTAAACGAGCCGAAAGAATGTGCGGGAGGTGGAGCGGGTGAAGTGAGATAAAAGTGTGTTGCGAGTGGGCGGAGGAATGCGGGTGCTACGGCAAGCGTGCTGCGGGTGATGGAGAGAGTGACGTATGCACGCGCCTGCGAGGGAAGCGTGCGAGGGGAGCGTCACATCGAAGAGCAGCTGTGGCGTGACCTACTTCCTACCACCTTGTGGAGCTGGGGCCCTACCAAGAATCTACAAACTGGCCGATCTTGCCTGCGAAGTGCACTGAATACTGTAGTCGGCCATGTCGCATCTGTTGGTCTGGCTGTCTCTCCGGCCAAAACGAAGGCACTTCTTGTGCACCCCAGACCAAGAACACGCAGAAGAGTGGCCCGTCTAACCATCGAGGGCACCACAATACCATGGGAGAATGCGGTGACGTACCTGGGGATTCACATCGACCATAGTCAAGGAAGCCATATGCATGAAGAAGAGAACCCAGAAGGCATTGAAGGGCATCTTCCTCAATGACCACGGCTGCTTACCATCCTGGGCTCTTCGTATTTACACAGCAGCAGCAACATCACGGCTGCTGTACGCATTTCCCATGGTAGCACTTCCTCGGCGGCTTTTGGAGCGCCTAAAGT